CTAAGTCGTAAAATTGTGAAGTGCCCATCATGTGGCTCTCATGACAATACGACATTTAAGTATTTTGTGACGACCTGATCAATAAAATGGCTGCAAATCACTTAAGTGCTTGCTGCATGAAATTTTATAAAATCTTGCATGTTACAACAGAAAAAGACAAAAAAACGTAACATTTCTTCAAAAGTTCATTGGAAAAAGGAAGTCAAAGTTTACTTGCACGTGTAAAAAGTGTTCGAATAATTTTGATTTTACGGAATTTTAAGCAGTTAAATTCAGTTTTGGAGATGTCAGGTATCTCCCCTTCTTAAAAGTATGGCCCACAATTGAACAAAAATATCACATGGTCGTCCAATACGTTCTTCAACGTACGTTTAAAATTTAAAATGTGGTTTGATTTCACGTACATGTATATGTTTAGAACAGATTTTAATATTTTTTCCAGGGATACTCTGTATTAAATTTGAATTAAATTGGTCAAGGGATTCTGTAGCCGAAATGTTAAAAATAACACAGAAGATACATCTGTACAAACGTTTACTTATATATACCGAATCTTCGATCAGTAATTAATTCACTTGAAATTGAGGCACAGATGTAGAGTACCATGTGCCATAACGCTCACCCGGGTCAATTGGTGCTATTTTTCTATAGATTTTTAAAAGATTATTTTCCTTCTTTATTCCTATGAAAAATTTGACCCCATATTCTGACCACAACTTAGCCTAAATCGATCATGACCTAATTACCCGAATTTGAGTCCACAAAAAACGTTGGTCTTTCAATATGACTAACATGGTCTTGCTGTTCTGGAGAAAATTTTACAAAAGATTTTTTTCCCTGTATACATGTATATATGCATGATAAAATTGATCCCTGACTTTAGCAGCAATCTAACCCCAGGGTTCATAATTTGAAATGACTAGAGTCCAAACAGTTTGAAAATGTTTGCATATTTTTTAAAATATATTTTAGTGTGTGAAATGACTCTGATCCCCTTTTGTGGCCCCATGCACCCTAATTCAGGGAAGATGAGTTGAATTATCTTGAATTAGGACGACGTACGTTGCACTATGCTTACATATTGATAAAATTAATCGTAGCCATAATTTGAGAATAAGAACTAAAGATTTTTTCCATACATTTCTATGCAAAAATATGGTCCCTATATTGTGGGCCACCCTACTCCGGGAACCACAATTTATACAAACTGGAACCCACACAACCTGAGGATGCTTGCTTCTTTAAATTATTAATCAGAGCCCTAACAGATTTTTTAATTTACATCTACGCAAAACTCTGAACCCGAAGATGCTTGCATATTAATATGGTTTATTATAGACGGACTTGCTGTTCTTGAAAGAAATTTTTTTAAAAAGATTTCTTTATATTCTCATGTGAAACTTTGATCCCTATTTCGGCCCATCCATCCCTATAAAGCCAGGAAGCTTTCACATAAATTTTATATATTCAGATCAAGTGGTTCTTAGAATTTTTTTTTAGACTTTTCTAGTTAAATAACATCACCCTGTTTTTGCCTTTTTAGCTTACCTGAGCTGAATTTATCCAGCGTCTGTCTGTCCATGATTAGTCATATCAACACATGTGTACAAGCTTACCGTAGATTCAAATTTGTTCAAAGCATCCCCCAAGGTAGAGGATGGAGTAGGGCCACAACAAGAAATCCAAAGGATAAAGGAAAAAAAATAAAATAAAAATATCGGGACAATTATTTGAAAAATCATTTTTTCCGAAAAAACAGACCATGATTAGTTAGTTCGATATGCAAGAATATCCTCAGGTAGTGTACATTGTAATTTGTTCAAATCATTGCCTCTTAGGGTATGTTGGGGCAACAGCAGGCGACATTAAAGTTTAACATGGTAATATATATGAAAAAATAATCTTTGAAAATCTTCTGAAGAACAACATGGCTATGATTAGTCATATTAATATGGAAGCATCCTCAGATAGGGTAGATTCAGTTTTGTTCATATCATTGCAACGGGGTTGGATAATGCAACAACAGGAGACAAAAGTTTTAAATGGGAATTTTGGGAATGTGTGAATTTTTTTTTAAAATCTTCTAAGGAAGAACAACAAGGCCATTATTAGTCATATTCTATATAACAGTATAGTTTCAGTTTGATCAAATCATGCTTCCAGGGGATAGGATGAGGCTACAGTAGGGGATCGGAGTTATACATTTTAAGGGAATATTCATGGACAAATCTTTGCAAATATTCTTAAATTATGTGGATTCACTATTTTTTGACATGGATCACGGGTTGGGGCACCATTGGATATAAAATTTACATATGTCTGTGTCCATGAAAAAAAAAACCTTCTTTTCCAGAACAGCAGGGCTTTGCTACAGTGTATTTGTATTGATAATAATGCATCTCATTGTTATGTGGAGTCAAGTTCAGTTGTGGGGTCAAAATTTTTTTTGAAAATAATGAAGAAAAAAATCGCTGAAAATCTTTTGAGGAACAACAGCCAAAGTAAGTAAGGTCAGCTTCGAGGTCCATGGGCTTCTTGTTTGAATTATTTCCCCTTGGAAATATGGCCTTTTTAAAAAACAAACTTGAATCTCCTTTACCCAAGGATGTTTTGTGGCAGTTTATTTCCCTGGTTCTGGAGAAGAAGTAGAAAATATGGCAGACAGACGGGCAGACAAACGACGGATGATCAGCACAGCTCACTTGAACATTTGGTTCTGGTGAGCTAAACACACACACACACACACGAATGTGGATTACGAACCACCAATAATTTTGAAGAATTTTAACCATTAAGAAACAAAAAAGGCACTCTTGTCTTTTGAAATGAATTTTCGATCTCTAATTAGCTCCAAAATCCAATATCACAAAGAGAATTGACGTGATGGGGGTTTAAAGAGAAGCATTCTTTTTATATTCCAATCACAGAGCGCCCTACAACAGAGCCTTAATTTGCTTATTTTCCATACACTGTTTTGCCAGATATAACGATTTATTTCATTAAAACCATTCTTTTCATTCTCCGTGGATTTGGAAACTAATAATTGATACAGACTTGTTTCCGTGATTTTTTTTTTACAATCGGCAATGCAATCAGCAATGCTGGTAATTTCATTTCTTCTTTTCATTTTTTTTCAATTGTCTATTTTTTACTAAGTTTTAGATTGTAAGCTGAATTGTACTGAAATCTTGTAAGATAACAGAAATTGTGAAATAGAGATGTTGTGAACATTTTGAGCTTAAAAACATCGTAGGACTAAAAGTGTCCCTGAATCTTATATTTATTTTTTTTTAGCCCCCCACCCCCACCCCACCTCCAATCCACTTGTTTCGATTAATTTTGTTTCATTTGAAAAAAAAAATAATTGATTGACGCAAGACAGCGTCATTTAATGAGAAACATATATGGTAACTTGGATGTATACAATTTTACATAGAAATAGTTTATTTTGCTCTAAATGTAATGCCGTTATCAATCAGTGATGCATGTATTTGAGCCATATGTAATGGGGATAGGCTACAACGACTGAACACAATGACCAGAGAAGCAAGTGACAAACCTTGTTGTGGTTGCAGTAATGCACAGATGGGAGGATTAAGTAAGCATAATTAACAATGATGTATTGTTCATTAGCTGCAATGGCAATACATTGGTATACTATTTGCCGTGCGAAATAACCAGTTGTCCACAGCTTTAAATAATAAATACTTACAATTACATGCTATCCCTGGAGATATTTCGAGAAACTTACCTCTATAACCTCTATCAAAACCTCTGTGTGTATGTGTGTGAGTGAGGGGGGAGGGGGGACTGTTGGCCTTCTTTCAATGAAATTCACATAAAGCATAAAAGACACTGTATTGCAGAACACATGAACGTTTCATATGGCTTTGTTAACGAATGTAATTTTAGTTTTATCAGGAAAAGAGACAACCAGGGAATTAAAAATATGATTCGGGAAGTTGATCGAACCTACAGATATTTTCCACACAAATAATGATGAATTCTCTAGAGATTTCTGACATGTAATGAACAACCAAATGATACGGATAAGCTTTTAACTATTGATTCTAAGTTGATGAAAAGCAACGTAGAGTCAACGTTCGAAATAGGAACAGTATATAATACGCTAAAACGAAATATAATCCACCCAAATGCATGGGAATCTCACGGTCGATTCGATTACCCATAGTCACTAATATTGCGGAAAACGACTACAGAATTATTTACGGAAATCTTTGAATTGTGGCATCGATTCCATCCTTTGTCACGAGTCGTTTTCTTCGGGAAGTGAAAAATATTGGCACAAAATTTGCCTGGAAATCTCGACTACTCAAGCCAAAAAGCTCTCTGTAACTTCATCAATGATCCTCTAGCACGATAAGAAGATCGGGATCGGCAAATCAAATAAATTACGTAATATTGTTTAAGAGTTGTTATCTCTTCGTTATTTAAATTTTTTAATAATAAATCACTTGTTTATTTAATGAAACATGCTGTGTTTTCTTCCTTTGCCAACTTAATTTATACACACATATTGTTTCATTCCATTTGCCTTCTCTCTTGTATAGTTATCTGTATAAAGCGAGATGGATTCAAGATGGTTAATATACATATAAGAGCAGTGTCCGCCAACATTTAATATTACAATATATATATTTTTGCATTGTACTCACTTTTGAAGACATATGAAATTGTTACAATACAAAAATTATCAGCGAGAAGGAACAATATGAAACCAACAGTGTCTAAAGATCTTTTTTAATTTACTTCGCAGACAATTATTAGTTTATACTGAGAAAAATTGACTTTAACTTTCTTTTTCAATATTGCACAAAACGTTTCCAGTAATCTGATAATATTCATTTACAAAGCCAGAGGCACAGAGGGACAAGGGAGATGGTTGCTACAAAGCTTGCGTTTACTTTCAGCAAATAACATAATACAAGTATTTTTTCTTTAATTATAAAATTATTTTTAAACAAAATACTAGTACTCACAGTATTCTCCCCTGTTAAGCAATTCAATGTTCCCCGCCATTTTCAACTACTGCTCTGATACGTAATGTGTATATTTCTGGGAAAGCAGACGAGATTTGACATTTTAATCCAACATTATCCAGGTACATTGGCCGGAACTCCTTTCATTATATCCTCATAAAATGTTAAAAATGACAATCTGACCAGCTTATCGCTCATAAATAACATGGGAATCCTGACAACCAAGTTTTTTCCCCACAATTTTACAGAGCCTAACGATTTGCTGTAAAGATTTGACAAAACAGTGTAATCTTCCTTAATTTACACAGCAGAAAGATGAACAGATGTTTCATACACAGAGTGAAAGTTTACATTTTTCTGATGTTTTCATGTTCACAAATCACTGTACCAGTATTCACAGTACAGCAATATTTAGCGCACATATGTCTGCCTGTTATATCGGAGGATTTCGTACTCCTGTGTTTGCCCTCAGTCTCTATTCACGGCTACTAATCAATGATCACAGATCAGATGTAATATATCAATCACTAAACGCTTTTTGTTTGAATCCGCTCTGATTTCCAGCAATGTAATCGTTTAATCTTATCAGTAAAAAGTATTTTCATTTTTTTTAGGGGAGGAGTGGGGACAACAGAACAGAAAATACTTGACAAGCGCAAAAAAGAAGTAACTAAAGAAGTTATCGCATAACCGTAATAGCATTGGTCCACTCTCTCTCTCTCTCTCTCTATGTATATATGAGAGGAGGCTTAGGCTTTACCTCCTGCACCCCAGTTCTAACGGACCTGGAAATTTTTTATCAATTTGTTTTAAAGGGGCCTTGACACAGTTTTAAGTTAATATTTTCTCTTTCTGTATATTATTATTACTTATATGTTGCTATAGCATTTCACACGGAAAGATAATAAAAGCGTGTTCAAAAACTTCTTTTATCTGGAAATTATTGAAACTACGAATTTCGGGACGCGTTTGATTGACACATCCTTGCACTTTCGCAAAGTAAACTTTATCCTTAATTCTTAAGAAAAGAAGACATTTTGTTGTGTATTAAAAAAAAAATTAAAACTATAATCCAGAAAATTCAGAGTGGAAATGTGAGAGAGCGAAAACAACTCACCAGTAATGGCAGTCCGTGCTCAGTGATGTGCAGATTTTAACAAATTGAACACACCCCGTGAAAAAATAAACATATAAATATAAATCTTGGTTTTCATCATTTTACTTTAGGAAGTAACTGCTTTCCATAGTTGAAGAGTTATCCAGGAGAAAAGGCCAAAGGACTGGAGCAAATCGACTTTTTTAAGTATCATCGTGAGGAAGGCGAGTGATATTTTCTTCACCTGTTTAATATTGAGAAGCCGAACTGCACATTGTTTTCTTACGTATCCTCGTGAAGAAGGCGGGTGATATTTTCTGCACCTGTTTCATGCGCGGATCTAGAGGGGGGAGGGGTCCGGAATCCCCCCCCCTCGGGAATTTGCAGAGTTATTATAAGTATATACTGAAGCAAATAAAAAGTGACTTTGAACCCCCCTTAGAAAACGTGGACCCCACCATTACCACCACGAAATAGGTCTTTTTCACGTTTGGGAAAAGGATTTTACGGGGGTTTTTTTCTTTGCTCGTCAAGAAATTTTCTGGCTTAGAATTTGTTTGGATTGGGATGGACCCCCCCCCCCCCCGGAAAAAAAATCCTGGATCTGCGCCTGCGTTTAACATTGAGAAGCGAACTGTACATTATTTTCTCATTATACCTGACATCATCCGAACGCATTGACACCTATTTATATATCAACTGAATTATATTGCTTTAAAGTTATGAAAAATTGGCTTTTTTTTCTTTTAAAATATGTCTTTCTTCCTTGTGATGATATTTAAATGATTATTTATGCTCTGTGCAGACATTTTGGTACTGATAGTCGGCTGGGGCTAATGGAAAGAGGCTGATTCGCAAGCCAAGGGTTTTCGGTCCGCCAAGTTGTGGAACGAGAACTTAATTATGGTTTGCAAAAATGAATGCCGGCGGTCCTGTCTTCTTCTGTTCCCTGATATTAACCACACTCCAGAGTAAATTTTATGAAAATTCTAGAATGATTTAGGATGCTGTGAACAACAAGAAGCACGGTGGTCGCTAATTTCTGCAAGATGGCAGAGCCCCATTAGTAAATAAATATTTGCAAAGAATTTTACATGTACATGTACCAGTATATGGCTTGTTGCTCATTATACCTACAGCTAGGTGTTTGCTGTTATTTTGACTCTCGATTTTGTAAATCAACAACTAGGACAAAAATGTTCATTTCTAAGAATATGCTTTCAGCAAAAGCGGCCCTTTGATGACATTGCATCAACAGCATAAACTAGCCAAGAAGAACCAGTGGCGGAACCAGAAATCAAGGGTGAGGGGATGGCCGCCGAATGGGCAATGAAAAAAAATTATCATGAAAAACCTTGACATGCAAAAAAAATAAATAATAATAAATAATAATACAAAGAGAGAGAGAGAGAGAGAGAGAGAGAGAGAGAGAGAGAGAGAGAGAAGAATGTAACTTCTGTAACATTATCAAAAAGGGTAATGATTAAACAATTATTGAGAAGGGTAGACTAGTCATCATTTCTCTGTGCTACCTGTTTGGAAACTATTTTCATTAGTGTTTTAAACCTTGAGCAAATCTAAGGCGACAATACTAGAGGAAAATACAGAAAGAAATACTGACCAAAAGCATTTAAGAATTTAGTTTCATTCTCTTTTTTTAAATAAGAACATTCCAATGGTTCAGATACAGAGAATCACGTACGTTGACCTTGACCTAGGCTCTACTACTTCAGCATGATAGAGGTTCACTGCGGGATATTTTTGACTTGGCACCGCGTAACATACTAGTCCAAAGTTTGTATGGAGCGTAGGGACATTAAACGAGGCTCTTACTTGTAGGAGTAAGGCTCTACAAAACCTACATTGGAGAGAGAGTGTGTGCTAAAATGAATTAAAATCTTGCAAAGATCGTGTACAAAGGTGTTCCAATGAATGAAAGAAGTAGTGACAGAGGTGACGGGGATTAAAACTTATGGAAATAATAGACATCTTGTGAGGATAAACTACTTAAAAAAAATAAATGGATTATAACGTTTGATATGCTATGAATTTTAAGACGGATGATGATTGAAGGCCAAGATAAGAGCGTTTTAGAGCATATTTGGAAGTATACGAATCTTACCGGCCCAAGAAAATAACGAGAAATGCGCAAGTAAGAGGACAATACAAACATCAGCAAAGACTTGGATTGATAGAGCATGCATCCGAGCAATACAAATCGTCCGATGTAATGGAATAAAATCAAGACATTGACCTACAATAAATATAAATATCTCCGGAGACTTGCAATCATGAGCACGCGAACATTTACTTTCATCGATTTTTGAAATCAATAATTTAGATCAAAACGCAAAATTCAACATTTTTTCATAATATATTCAGTTATACAACTGCTACTTTTATCCAGATTATGGTTTGGTCTTAAGACCTCTGACCAAAACCTGGATTCAAGTTTTAACATTTTTTTTTAGTAATCTAGGCATCACCATTGACCGGAATCTAAACATATAACATGAAAATACCGAGAAATTTCTTTGAATTCTAGGTGTCCACACAGAACTCTCATGACGCTTGAAATTCACTGTTCTCTGCAAAATGAGTGGAAAAAAGTATTTGCAAATATGACGTTTGATGTATTTTAGCATTTGTCACTGTATTTTAGCATTTGTCACTTTGTCATTTCTATTGCAAATCTACAAGGCGATAATGTTCAAAGAGCAAAATGAGGAAAATGTGAAATTTCAAAAATCAAGGTCAACAAATTATGACACAGTTGAAAGCTCTCACCAATATGTATCAGTGTATTACTTAGTTTGATGTTAATAATATTTTGAATAGTTTCTTTGACAATGAGCTAAACACAAAATGGGAATAGTAAAGTCAAGGACATAGGGAAGGTCAAGGTCAGAAAATTATGACACAGTGGAATAGCTCTCACCAATATGTATCAGTGACTGAATTTTGATAAAAATATCTTCAAAAGTTCTAATGCAGTGTGATGGATGGTCAGTAGGCACAGATGAACAGAAAGGTGGATGTGAATCAAACACTATATACCTCAGTCATATTCATACCACAGTAGAAAATTCAGGGGGGGGGGGGGTTCTTTGATTTTCATGGTTAATCTTTTTCATCTTTCAGAATAAGTAGTCTAAGCAATTAGGATCAACATTTTGCGATGGATGACCATCATATTACAGAGCCCATTTTAAGAGGCTTTCAAGCAGTTATGCCTTGTCCTTTTTTAATAATGCCAAAAAGTGGTCCTTTGGAGTAACTCTGAGATAGTAAATACAGTTTGTCATACATCTTACCATCCAGTATAATAATATCAATATTCAATAGAGAAATGTGTGTACTATGTAAGATGAAATTCTTGGTAAAACAAAGACATCAAATGACACATTTATTATGCAACAATAGAATCATTTAACAACATTCTAACAACAAGTAAATGATATTTATAAATAACATATATAATCAATTGTAGAATGTTTATAGACAATGACAGTGGTTTTGTTAATTCTCTTAAATAAATTCAATTTAACTAGCTTACATGCTGAACTCAATAAGCCATAAATTGAGAGCATTATGTTGAATAGCAGCCTATAATGAAATAGACAAAATGGAATGTAAAATGTTTACAATGCTGTAACTCATACTTGTCAAACTGCAACGGGTAATGTTTGAAAATAAAACAAAAGATGAAGCCTTTAGAAGAAAAGAGAGTACTTAATTTTTGTTATGAAAATTGCAAAAAAGAAAAAAAAATTTTGCTACTTAAAATACAAAGCATTAGATCTAGCAACATATAGTTTACCGGTACATTTAATTATTTTTAATTTGAAAAATTTCTTTTCTTAATCATAACACCAAGAAATTCTGTAAAAAAAAAAAATCTTCCAATTTTTGAGAGTTATTTTCTATTATTTTCAGGATCTAGACTTTCATTGCTTGAAATGAGTTGTGGATAATCTGATCTTGAGGTCTGTTGAATGGCAGTGTTACTATCAAGACTTGATCCTACACTACAGGTGCTATGAGTGAGTTAAAGCTTCAACAGCCAAGCAGTATGTTTTACTAATGTGGGTGAGTGGTGGAGTGGAGTGTAGTGGGATCTCTATAATTTTACTACTGTGGCTGAGTGGTGGGGCAGAGTGTAGTTGGATCCCTGTAATTTTACTACTGTGGCTGAGTGGTGGGGCAGAGTGTAATAGGATCCCTGTAATTTTACTACTGTGGCTGAGTGGTGGGGCAGAGTGTAGTGGGATCTCTATAACTTTACTAATGTGGGTGAGTGGTGGGGTGGAGTGTAGTGGGATCTCTATAATTTTACTACTGTGGCTGAGTGGTGGGGCAGAGTGTAGTGGGATCTCTATAATTTTACTAATGTGGGTGAGTGGTGGGGTGGAGTGTAGTGGGATCCCTGTAATTTTACTACTGTGGCTGAGTGGTGGGGCGGAGTGTAGTGGGATCTCTATAATTTTTCTAATGAGGCCGAGTGGTTGGTTGGAGTGTAGAAGGATCCCTGTAATTTTATTACTGTGGGTGAGTGGTGGGGTGGAGTGTAGTGGGATCCCTGTAATTTTACTAATGTGGGTGAGTGGTGGGGCAGAGTGTAATAGGATCCCTGTAATTTTACTACTGTGGCTGAGTGGTGGGGCAGAGTGTAGTGGGATCTCTATAATTTTACTACTGTGGCTGAGTGGTGGGGCAGAGTGTAGTGGGATCTCTATAATTTTACTAATGTGGGTGAGTGGTGGGGTGGAGTGTAGTGGGATCCCTGTAATTTTATTACTGTGGGTGAGTGGTGGGGGAGTGTAGTGGGATCCCTGTAATTTTCTAATGTGGGTGAGTGGTGGGGTGAAGTGTAGTGGGATCCCTGTAATTTTACTACTGTGGCTGAGTGGTGGGGTGGAGTGTAGTGGGATCTCTATAATTTTTCTAATGAGGCCGAGTGGTTGGTTGGAGTGTAGTGGGATCCCTGTAGTTTTACTAATGAGATTGTGTGATGGGGTGAGTTGGATCACTATATTTTTACTAATGTGGCTGAGTGGGGTGGAGTGTAGTGGGATCCCTGTAGATTCATGAATGTGGCTGTGTGTTGGGATGGAGTGAAGTGGAATTCCTTTAGTTTTACTAATAAGGCTGAGTGGTGGGGTGGAGAGTAGTGGGATCCCTATATTTTGTACTAATGAGGATGAGTGGTGGGGTGGAGTGTAGTGGGATCTCTGTAATGATCATCAATGTCCCCCACAACGCCACTTTCACAACTCTCTATCAGAGAATAACTGCGGTAGACACTACTGTGGGGACTCATGGGACTGGCCTTCCAGCACTCATTGGCATTGGACACCAGGTACATGGTGACCTTTGGCAGACGATTTGTCTTCAGGAGATAGAAGAGGATGACTCGGATGAAAATTTGACTGATGAGCATGAGGCATGCAAATCCAAACAGGATATAGCAGGTGTTAAAAAGGATTTGCCGAAGAGTCACTACCAAGGGAAGTAACTCAGTATGAAGATACTCCATAAATGTGGCATCTTGAAATTCTACAAAACAAAACAAAAATACATATAAAAATAAATACTTTTTAGATTTACATTGTAATTAAGCTGGGATATAAAACTTCAAATTTAGGAAAATCAAATATGAAATTATTAACCTTGAAGATACTGTGGATAAATTGGCATAAAGTTACAGGTCTGTAGAGATTCTAGGAGAGATAATGAGGGCTGGACTTGTTGACATGGTGAAGCATTTTCTATGGAACATAGTTCTTGAACAAGATTTTGAACAATGGAGGTCTGAAATAAGACAATACAATCATTGGTATAAACACATGTACATTCAACCTTTAAGGATATAATGAAATCACATTGTATATTGTGTATATTGTGTTTATGAGAGTCCTACTACCTGCTATACTTACATGTTTTTGTACAGTGTGCCCTAATAAAAAGTTAATATCATTCACTTCCATGAATGTTTTGGTTTGGAAATCTGTCAGCATTTCATTGCTTAACACAGCAAAATCACTCAGCAAGTTGTTAGAGATCTCTATTTGCCTGTGGAGTTGAGGCAATATGGACTTCGTATCCATCAGGAAAGTAGCAGTGTCAATGGTGACAAGGTCATTAGTTGTCATGGTAACTAGTGAAATAATTAAAATAAAAGCACCTACAAGCACAATTCTCCATAGTAAAGGAGAAATCAGATGTTTATACACAAATCTTGCCACTTTTTTCACCATTGTGTATGAGTCAACTTTCTCCTGCACTGCAGGCATTGTTGTTCTTTGCTTGGAACGCTTCTGTGAGTAAATCTGCTGCAACATGTGTTCCTTTCCCTTCGGGGAACCTCCTTGGAAATATTGCAGCAGATCATTTTTCCTCTCATAAATATCTTTACTATCACTGTAGCTAAAGTGTCTCTCTCTTGGCTTGTCTCGCTTTTCAGCATCAATGCCAGTCAAAATGAAATAAATTTTCCCTGCCACAGAATCCATAGCCACTTTTTCCTCTATGCCCATCTTGGCTTTTCTGAACATTTGTCTTAACCAGGTGAAGCGGTACAACAGAAGAAGCACATCCATGAATAGAAACACACAAATGAACACTGGAAACAGAATAGACTTCATCTTCTCTATCAGTGAAGCTGTGGAGGAATAAGAATCTCTCCTAGCCTGATTAGAAGAGGAAAAGTTATGTTGGTTTACCATTGAAGGCATAAAATTCAACTCATTCTCCAGAATATGGAAATTGTGTGATGTCAGCTGGTTAGTTAGTTCCTCTATGGAGTTAACCAATAAATCATCATCTGATAGGGAAAGTTTCAAGTTGGAGTCCAATGCTGGGAGTGAAGATGACAACCTGCAAAAAAAAAAAAAAATTATTTCCTTTTTCAGAAATATCTAATTTTTTCTGATATAACTCTAACTTGGTATTATTAACTTTTTGAATAAAAGTGAAACAATTAATTTAATGGTTATAAATGTGTGTTTTTCTCAGTCTTACGTTTTCATGATGCCATCTGTAACATGAAGTGTCTCCTCTACTTGGTTAATCTCCAACCAGTCCATAAACCCTAGGAGGTGGGCCATATCCTGCTTACTGTCAATCAATTCCTTCTGACCAATGAAAAGCTGTTCTGGAAACTTCAGCCAATCATTTTTCATAAGACTTTTCAAAAACTGATGGTATTTGGAAAGAACAGTTTTAAATTCACTTTGTAATGTTTTATTATATTCCTTTAAAAATTCTGAGAGTTCTTCTTCCAAAGTTTTGGATTTTTCTTCTAAAGTGTTGGTAAGAATGTTCTCAATTGTTTTGTTTTGTATGTAGAAATGTTTTACAAATGAATCTAATTGTTCTTGCATTTGCTCTACAATTTTCTTGATCTCCTGAAGATTGTGGTATGAGCATGCTCTGAGCCGATCACGAGTCTGGTTGTACATGTGAGATATCTCAGAAATCTCAAATTCCTGCATATTATGAAACCTGAGCTCAACAGCCTGGTGAATTTTAGCACTGGTATTGGACACTATAGTTAAGTTTCCAATGAGAGGTCCTTGTACAATATAAAACACACCTAACAAAACAGAGAATGTAAACATCAAAGCATAAACAACATAGAGAGTCACTAGACAGCAGGTCACACTGCGCGAGATAGGAGTCTTCAGTGGCCTTGACCCATCATCTTGTTTTGACCTCTCATCGTCCTTTAAGAAAGTGACTCCTGCATATTTGAAAACATCATTGGTGGTAACTTGTCTAATTCTGGAAATGCAGAAGGCTGCAATCACGAATACAGTTACTAGAATTCCAGAAAATATGAGTATGACAATAATTGGCATCCATGGAAACTGGTTAGTGGCATGTTTTCTAACAACAAGTTCTGTTGTAACAGGGATGTTGGTTGGGTTGATTAACATGGTCAGAAGGATTTTGTGCGAGGCCTTTGTGTCATTAACAAAGACTGCGAACACATTTGGAGTGTCACTTCTTGATCTTGGTAGAAGGAAACTGAAGGAAAACTGGGGGGATGGACATTTCACAAAAATGTCGTACTTTCCAAAATAGGATTCCATGAACTGGTCATACACATCCATGGTTAGATAACCTGGGCATTTCAGTAGTGTACCTGTATAAAGATATTCACAATCAGTAAGTTCTGCATTATTTCTCAAACATACCAATGCAAAGTTGATAAAGAAGACATTTTTACCCAAATAACTAGAATGTATCAAAGAATTTTTATTAACTTTTTATTAAATTTATTTCTTTTCATATTACAGAGCCATGATTAAGGTTTAAATAATGACCCTCTGCAAAGAGAGATAATCCAGACATTAAAAAATTAGAATTTTTTTTTTAAGTATGTCATTTGTATTCTTTTTCCTTTAAATCTGTCTTGCCAAAAAAGTTTTATTTACTAGTATCCAGCAAATGCTGTAAACTGTATGTTCAGTGACGATTTTAATTTTTTTTTTATTGCCCTGTAAGGTCTGAATTTGCTTGAAGTTCATTTTCTTTCCAAGTTTTGCTTGTACAGAAAAATTATAATTCAGTGAGCAGATGTCAATATTTGTAAACCTTAAGGACTCTTTGTTGTTAAGATCTGGGTCACTACAGACAATTATTTACCATTGACTGTGATGTTCCAGCTCCTTGTATAGTGTTGCCATTCCAGATTTCCTGTGAAACTACTAGAGTTGATGACAGTAGGTCCAATGTCCTTCTCAAAACTGGCCAAAATAGACCTATCTCCTATATATCAAATAAAGAGTATAGGATTAATAATGCTGCATTCTTTGTGTTGGTGTTTTGTTAAGATATTTATTCATATTATATGAAAAGTACTTGGTGTGACACTTTACCTTTAATTCCTATTCTAATCTCAGCCTGCTCCTTCAAGGAAATAGCTTGATACTCAAACTTTCCATCCACCTTGCTGATAGTTGGGTCAATTATTGTTTTCTCTGCTGTGTGGAGGGGTTGCTGGGGATAAATCTGGGAGAAGTTCTTTGCATCACATCCTCCTCTGCTCCATGTAATGGCGCTGTATAGAAAAGGACGCTCAAACTGCACAGTCGTGGAGTAAACATTACTTTGCCATTCCGACCGATATGGCCGAACCCCAAAATTCTTTCTAGTGTTAAACTCCTCTGGTTTTTTCATGGGCTGCATGTAAAAGCGAGTGGGTGTGTTATCATCAAAGTTAGTGCCAGTCAAAATGACTTCATCATGGATGTTGGAGTAAGTGGAGTGCTTGGTATGGATAAAATCCTGACTGGCTTCCCCCGTTTGGTGGAATCCTCTGTCTGTAACTTTAGGTGAGAAGTACCTTGTCTTAAATGTATGCTGGATAGAGGGCAACTTCACAGTATAGCTCACTTTGTACAGCTTCGGAGGCTTTCTGTACTTCATATGACATGTGAATTTCTTTTCCAAGGACTTAAACACAGGCTCAATGCTGTATCTGTATACATCGCCTAAAAATAAACATAAATCTAGCTTGAAGGTTTGTAACAATGATAAATAGTAAATCTTTTCACTGATATCTCTCTGGGAAAGCTGAGGAATGATGTTCTTTAGAATATAAACAAACCTCTGGCACACTCTATAGGTCTTTGTGGACAGTCTTCACTGAACGCCTTTTGACATGTCCGCTTACTGAAACATGTCACTCTACAACACGTAATGTCATCTGCAGAGGCTGTCAAAATAATCATCTCAAATAAAAATTTTGAACAACATTGTACTGCAAATTCTATCAAATTTAGTTGCAAAAAAACAGTTTGACCTTACATTACAGTTGGTTCTTAAGTAATCCTAAAAATGCATTATTCATTTATAAAATGCATGTTTATCCCCAACCCCTGCATGCTGCTTATATCATATTCCACATTATCTTAATTTTATCTTTAATTATTTCCACAAACATTCTGCTATGGATGCTATTCAACATCTCATATCCTAAAGTCCTGAACCTATATAAGTTCATTGAAATAAAAACTCTTATACTTCGAGGTATCATACTTGCAATGTTTTTTTTTTCATAGTTCACTTGATATCTTACATGATTTTTGTTCACACTGCTGCTGGCACTCCTGACATAGCTCCATGCTTTGTTTGCACTCCTGGGTGGGGAAGTTAAGGGTCGTGACCTTAGTTCCCTCCAATCCAAATGTATTTGTCAGAAGGCTGTTAGGGAGGGAGCAATACATCATGTTGGTACTTTGAAACAACTGGGAGAAGTTGGATTCCTGTTGCAAAATCAGTTATGATGGTTATTGGTTAAGCTTTAAAATTTAAGCATACTATTACTATGACTATCATCTGGAATTTTTTTCTCCAAAATATTTTTATGATATCAATATTCAAATTGCCCTTTATGAAGACAATGAGAAAATTGCAGCTCAAGGATCTTGAAACTTAAAAATGACAGGCCAAACATTGCCGACAGATTTCAAATAACCAGCTGTACTTGTATGCTATGGACTGACCTTTCCATCAGAATATGGACACTTGATGTAGAGTTTCCTATTGAGGTACGGGTCTCCCTCCTTCACTCCCTCTGGACAGGGGTCACTCTTTGTAGGCTGGCAGGTGTCCATTCTGGCTACTGTATAGTGATCAGGAAGAATGTTCAAAATGACCTTGTAATAGTCAGGCACCACGTCCCTGAAACCAAATGCAATTTTCGTAGAAATGTGCTCTTTATTTTTGTGTGACCCAATACTCCCAAAGATACAAAAATACAAACGTAAGTATCTTGGTCTTTTTGTATGATGACCTTTTTTACAATTGATGGATCTTAATTTTCTCCTTGATCACATATGATGCTTAAGCTCCTGGTTTAGGTGCACAACAAACCACATTTAATCTTAATATTTAATGATTAATATTTGCATCTGTTATCAATCTACAATTTGTCACAATAAAGTTATATAAAAATTAAAAAGATAAATTAATATCCCAAACTTCTAAGATGATTTTTTATCTTAAGTAACATATCATTTGTAACTAACCTGCAATAGTTGTCCTGTATAAATCTCATTCTCTTCTTCATGTTGTATGTACTGAACTTGTTCTGGAAGAAGAACGGGGCATCATCCTCGTGATCCAGATCCACATACTCCGGAATGAGGTAGGTCTGGGACACCTTAACATTGACCTCCAGACCCGACTTCCGGATAATGGGAAACTCCATTTGGATCTGGTTACTGTTGAGGGGTAGAGGGATTTCCTTGTCTCTGACATTCTCCAGACACTCCATAAATACATTGTTTGAAGAGGAAATGGAGACGGAAGCTGTCAATGTACGTTAATGTTCTAGAGATTATTTACGTAATGCTACCATTTTTTATTTTTCATGCAACAAAAATACCACTAAATCTGATACCGTATTATTGATATTAATGACACAGAAAACAAAATTAAGTCTGTTTTCTGTATCATATTTAAATGACATTTTGTTTTTGTTCCATTAACTGGGAAGGCTCTAATGTTGTAGGAATATAAATTGTATTTAAGAGTTATCTCTCTTAGACCTACTTGAATTATTGGGCTCACGGATGGTAGCTTCCCACCTTACATTGGTCACTGGAAAATTCACATCTGAAAGACAATGGATTCACTTTTAATCATTTTTCTTATAAGAGAGCACACAGTAACAAATATCTCTGTAAAAAATCATTCAAATAATCTCACAAACAAATGATTCCATCAAATTTTTACATTTATACAAAAAAGTCAAAAATAGAGTTGTGTTAGCAGTACTCCTACCCTCTCTGGGGACACATGGAATATTTCAATTAATGCTTTCACAAGGCATCCATAGATTCACCAAACAATCAAATGTGTGCACAATTACAGTATATCACTTACAATAAGCTGGTAACAAGCTGAATCCTTCCTTTCAGTGTAACTCTGGTGCAGCATTGGATGCATGCTTGACAAAACATCCATAAGATGCAACATTTGTTAAAGCTTGATTTGGATACCACATTGTGATTCAATGCTGACCTTATTTTTTATAAGATGTCAGTCAAGTGCAAAATATTGGTCAGATGTCAATCCAAAGCATGCAGCAGACTAAGCATCTTCATAATTATGTATCAAATGCACATTAGGTTTGAATACACTTGCAGTGAGCCTGGGAACAGATCTAAATGCTGAACAGGAATCACTGAAGCGTAAAATGTAGGTCAGATTCAGTATATTGCATGTACATATTCACAGAGGTACATGTATCAATTGTCTGCAAGTTTGGTTTGGTTATCCCTCAAGATAAGCCAGGAACTGACCAAAATGCTAATCTTGTATGACAGACAGATACAGTGATACCAGTATATCCCCCTACCACTCTGATTGTGTGAGTATAAGAAGCTAGCTGTTAAGTTCAATTAAGAAATTAATCATAATATTCTAAGATCCATATCAACAAACATGCCACTTACTCATGCATATCGTGTCCTGTGTACTAGAACATTTGGCAGCCTCATAAGTTGAACCTTTACATTTGGTACACTCTGAAAAAACACACAATCATGGTTTTCTCAACAAACAAATGTTAACACAACAATTTCTTTTGATTTGTTAGACCAAAACCTCCGATTATTTGATATAAAAAAAAAACTACAAAAAATTGTACAAGACAATATGGCAAAATATATAATCACAAAACACCAGAATTTACAACTCAGATGTTTAGTTTATCAATGACAAATAAGGTCAGAGGTCAAGGCTAAGGTTAACCCCAGTATAATGTAGTAGTGTTTGAGCAACCTTGATCTGATTTTCCCGTGTGTGTGAAGTAAAAAGAGATAATACATGTAGGCCATCCTGAACAAAACAAGAAATATTTGAGAAACATATATGCCCCCCCCCCCCCTTGTGGCAATATCAATTAGGGAATGACTTTAAATTTAGAATGTCTGTAACGACGTCGACAGTGAAAACAACTGGTCATCCACTGGTCAGGAGGCAAACATAATACCAAGTTTGATCTCTATCAGAACTCAATATCGTTAGCATTAATTTACTTGTTAGAGGCTACCAATATATGAAAATTGATTTCTGTAAATCAAATGGTTCTCAAGATACTGAATTGACAATATCTTCCTATGTCTAGTGTCTATGTCGTGTCTATGTTGTTTCACCCTTAAGCTTTGACCTTGTAATAAAAAAATCTACAGGGGTCATCTACTCCCTAGGGAACACCTAGGGAACTTACGTCTGTCAAGAAAAGGTTTCTAGATAAATTAAGAGTCAATATTTTTTTATATCCAGTTTGACCCTTGGTCTTGTGACCTTGAAATCAATAGGAGTCATCTACTTCTTAAGGGTACAATTTTCAAGTTTTTTCCAATATATTTCTATGTAAAACTTTGATCCCCCATTGTGGCCCCACTCTACCCCCAGGGTCATCATTTGAACAAATTGAATCTACTCCATGTAAAAAAGGCTTCCTATAAGTTTCAAATTTTTTGGCCTATTAATGGTTCTTGAGAAGAAGATTTTTAAAACATGCCACCATATTTTCACTATTTCTGAATTATCTCCCCTTGAATGAGGGCGTGGCCCTTCATTTGAACAAACTTGAATCCCCTTCACCCAAGGATGCTTTGTGGCAAGTTTGGTTGAAATTGGCCCTGGTTCTGCAGAAAAAGTCGAAAATGTGAAAAGTTTACAGACAGACGGACGGACAGACGGACTACAGACAAAATGTGATCAGAAAAGCTCACTTGAGCTTTCAGCTCAGGTGAGCTAAAAATTCAGTCACTGTAACAAATAATTGTTGACATACAGACAGACATCACTGATCTATAGATGGATTTAGCTTGGCAATCTGGCCAGAAGTTATGAATTAACTGAATCTGCTGCCTAAGACTGACAGTTAAATCTGGGCTAGTGTGAAATACCTCTACAAACAAGATCCTGATGAGCAGAACACTGGTGTGTCATGTAATAACCATCTGGGCACGACGTGGAGCAGGCTGTGACAAAAAAAATTACATCAGTCAATTTTTCTTCTCATTCTAAAATGTATAAAACTGACAGAATTTTCTTGACATTTGGATAAAAAACAAGAAAACTACCTGAACACTCCCTATTTTTAACAAAGTAGCCTCTTTTACATCGACAGTTCAAAGCACCTTGGAGCGTGTCACAGATAGCATATGTCTCACATCGTGTTGGGTCAGTCCTGCACATGGCTTTTACATCTGGATAAAACAAATAATCATAAATGTCATTGAATCATTCAAAATGAAAAAAATTCAAAACACCTGCAGTGGCTTGGAAATATTTATGGCTAAATATGCATGAAGTGCTGTTTTTTCAATTTTTCTGCCAGTAAATGCCTCTCTAACAATTAGCCATTTGATGTGTACGTGTATTAATTGTGCAGATCACAGAATGTAAATAAAATCATACAAACCCATGATATGAACTCGGGTAACCAGTGCCATGCTGTTACTACTGATAGAAATAGCAGAAATAGAGGGGTTTTCACTGTAAGATCGAATTCTACCTGCAATAAAAAAAACAGAAAAATATGTAGACAAGTATTCTCATGCGAACATTATGGTTAAGAAACAATGCTGGGATCTGCATAAAGACAGAGTTTGTGCAAATTAATAAGCCAGACACAAAGCCGAAAGAGAATGTTAGATATATGACTCATTGGTTTTGGACTTCTTACTAGGAGCTAGGAGCTTACAGGAATATGGGTTAGGGCATATGTCACCCTAAAAAATAACATAACACTCTAACTAGGGAGGAGAAAACAAACATGTGATTCACTGGTACTCCATGTAAGTTAAGACTATGTCAAACTAAGACAGAGAAGAACAACCCGGAGTATATCCCTGTAGCAATATGTGTTTTTTCTCTCAATGAAATATTAATAGTAGAGATATTCAGTGAAATAATTTTCATATTAATTTTTATTACCAAAGATTCAAGCATATCTTCAGATAAAGTTGAAAAAGTCTATAATCAAAATATTTACTGTTTAAGTTCACAACTGACAAACACATGTTGATATAACAATAAGCAAAAAAATACAAAGCACTTCTTCCCCTTTCTATTAACAGAAATTATCATCTAATCAAACATTAACATCATCGGAAACATATAGGTTATTTCTGACCAATTGGAACAAAGTAAATCATTTACATGGTGACAGTGTGTGAAATAAACGGTCATGTAGAATTAATAATAATTCATTTAACTTTGAAATTATATAAATCACTTTAGCCTTACATCCTATGTTCCTTATTTGCTAAAACAGTGATCATAGTGAATGGTACAGTAATACATGTGCGTTTTAATTTACTGTTAAAGCATAATTACTGAATATAATTAATTACAATCTGTCCCGATACAGAATGTTCCTATTCTGCACCGAATAACATGGAAGTGTGTTCATTTCAGTTCCTCATGTTTAGATTTCATTACCGCAGATCTTATCTTGGTGTTTTTTGTGTGCAATATCAAACAAAAACCATTGATTTTTTCTATTTGTACAAGTGGAAAATCTCTCCATTTCTCTCTTTGTCTCATCAAAAAATATCTTTCTTTCAATTACTTCAAATCAATAGATTTCCCTGCATATTTCAGAAATTAAATAATAGTTAATAATGAAATATTTGCCTATTTTGCTTCAAATTTAAGGTCATAAAATGCTTGAAGCAAGCCTTCCAATAAAATATTAGAGAAGTCCCATTCTGTTCGTAGTTTTTTTTTTTCCTGCTGTACTTACGGATATGTGAATCTGGGGGGACCCTGATTCTGAGGTAGTAATTGTAGGAGAGGGAGGAGATGGCACACACAGCTGCTGCCATCAGGATCACCCCTACACACACCATTACAGGGGCGGGCAATGGCCGCCGTCTTCCTCTGCTGGACTCTACGCCAAACCACACTCTTAACAGTTTTTCCTAAAATATCAAAGAAAAAAAATAATAATAATCAAAGCTAGATGAGTAATGTAATATTTTATTAATCTGCTTCCTCTGCCAACTGATATTGCGTTATTAATCAAATGTATTCAGGGAAGATTCTGTATATACAAACTGATTTACCATTTGAAAAAGCTAATTTTTTCTTTTGAATGCTATGTACATACAATGTGAATTTTTTTCTGGTTTTGACAATTCACTGATGAAAACATGACTGAAACCTCTATCAAATGCCTTGATTTGTAATGACTGTTATTTTCTAACCAAATTCCTATTATTTCCCCTGTGGCATGTCAAATCAATACTGACCCAACACTGCCTTTAATTCATTTCGGATAACTTGTTGTTTGTAATCAAATCAAAATTATTACAAAATGGCATTACAAATTACTCCACTGATCACTGCAAACAAGATCCCTTTTACCATGAGTATACATTAGAGGGAATTCAGCCCTAACAAAAGCCCTTGTTACTACTGGATGAAAGAAATTTATGCTCTTCATCAGGGCTTGGCATGCTATGCTGAGTGGAGTAGATTGATGTGGAATGGAGTGGAGTCTGTATTGTAACACTACATCAATTTTGAAAATGAAGGAATTTTTCTTATGTACAATCTCTCCCTTGGACTGTGTAAAAAGAAAGAAGCAAGCAACAAAAGAATGAGATGCAGCCAAAAATAAATATCCAAATATCTCAGAATCAAAAATACATTTAGTACACTAGTATTCTCAATAAAATACTGTGTGTGCACTCAAAAATACTATCCCACTATACTTTTTTTTATGACACTGTTTCAGATTATAAACATTTGCATTAGATAGGAGCTACTCAAGTCTTTTAAATACAAAGTTCACAGTTTTCAGCTGTGACCTTGGTTCTGTTTAAGTGCATGACCTTCAGGTTCATACACAATCAATAAGTATAAGCTTCCTAGGTTTTTCTATTATAAATTTTTGGCCTGGACATAGATTCATATTTTGTCTGTCAATGAACTTGAATTCTTAAAAATGACCTAGAGGCAAGGTCCTGATACAGTCACTGGTCTTAAGCAATGTCAAGTTTAATCCACCAACATTTCTCAATTAGAAAGTCAACCAAATCACATTTAGAAGAAAAAATTCTTTTAATGACTTGAATTTTCCAAATGACCACAGGCCAATGCCACACATTCTAAGCTCTTCAGAAGTTTTTGTGTCTATATAAGCCTCCATTGTTTCTCCATTAATATTAAATGCTTTTCCTAAAAGTGTGTGTGTGTGGGGGGGGGGGGGGGGGTATTTAATGGGGTCCGTCTGTCATTCTGTCTGTATGTAGGACTTAATGTTTCCAAAAGAATCATATCAGAAAGTCCTTCAGATTTTGAAATGAAATTTTATATCACAACTGGTTATGACTTAAAGAAGACCCTATTGATTTTGAGGTTAAAGGAGCTTGGACACAGATTTGAAGTTTCAGTATAATATCATGACATATGTTGTTAGAGCATTTCAGACTGATATATTATAAAGTCATGTTAGAAACTTCTTTCATCTGAAAATTATTAAAATTACGAATTTTGGGATTCGTTTGATTGACACACAATCTTGCACTTTCATGAAGAAAAATTATCCTGAATCTTTAAAAAAAAAAAAGTGGGAAAATCAGAAATATATATGGAATATTTTTAATTAGTTTCCATAATAACAAGTTCTCTTTGAGCTTTTTCAATGTTTATTTTCTTTTTTTTTTCATAATTCCTTATGGTTAAAAGAAGACCTCTATCTATTTTTTGGTCAAAAGGTCAAAGGTCAAAGTCAGAAATATATATATTGTATTAATTTTCAAATGCTTACTTTAGTTCTCTTAAGCTTTTGCAAAGAAACTTAAGGTAGTGAATCTTTTCAACTGAAACAAGACAACTATTGATTTTGAGGCCAAAAGCTGAAAGGTAATGGTCACATTTTCTTCTCTTTCAACAGCTGCATTTTTTAGGTCTCCCACCCATTTATTTTGTTTGCAGGGCCAGGGCATAAATTCCCTGAATTAGCTTGTACAGTTATAGTTAGTCCTGTGGAGCTGTGAATTTGCTATATTCATAATTCATTATATCCATGTAACAAAATTGTTAAAGCATATATATATATATATATCGAGTTCATAATATAACGGTTTACCTTCTAGTATGACTACCGAATAATTCTTAACAATTGCTTATCAAAATTTGGGAAGTATTCAGTGTTTGTTATAACCATAAATTTTTATAAGCAATTGTTAAGAATTATGCTGGGGATCTCAAAAAAAATTTGCTATATTCCGTTAACTTGCTATATCTATGTTCGTACTAATCAAGATTTACTCTATATATTCACATTGAACAGATATAATTTTTTCTGCTAACAACCTTGAAACCCTTAGAAACAATTTTTGTGTCAAATATGAATTTATAATATTTCTCCATTTCACAAATATTGATTGGACATGAATTTCACAATTTCTTTTTTTTTGACTGCAAAGTAGTACTTAAACCACAATTTTGGTCAAAATACTTGCAGAGTCACATTGCAAGGGGTAGGCTGTTCTAAGATTATAAACACTTTCAGTATTATAAATAGCCCAAGTGGCAATGTATTACTTTTAAAACAGGATTACCCTTAAAGGTTGTCTCCCCATCATGGTGGCTGGACTATCTTCATTGTGCAGACTAGATATGTCTGAGGTCTGTGACTGATCATGGTTTATCTGTAGAAGAGAATTGGGCTGTCATTACCAGACCAAAACCAGTGCTACTCAATTACTGATCAAGAAAGCTTTGATATTGACATATTGGATGAAAAATGAACTTAACACTCAGGATATCTTCATATCATAATTCATACCTTCTACATGTAAGCAAGTTCAGAAGTTTTAATATTCTGATAAAAATGCTGTATTTGGTTGCTTTAACTGCAGGTGAGAGATTATCTTTAATGTCATAATTAAACATTCCATAGTTTCGCAGACAAATAAAACAAGCTATAAACAACACAGAAATTAACCCCTCTTAAATACCATCAGATATAACCACATAATCTAATGTTTTAAACAGTTACTGCTACAAGTACAATGAATGCAATTATTCCTCGAAGATATGCAAGGTGAGTACAATATACATCATACACCCTATTGAATTAGCAGATAATCACTTGTCATGGAACGCCCAAATATTAATGCTTTCTTTCTTAATTTTATCATCAGAAGAACTCTGAAAGGTGGCAGCTATTACGTATAAAATCATACTGGGTCATCTTTTACACATCAAACTTGAAATATTCACGTTTACGACGGAACATTTTTTTCTGTGTACCACACGCCACCTGCCAGTGCTTTGCCACCATTTCTTCTTATTTTTTGCCAGACAAAAACACATGACAAAGACCTCGAAGCCTGAAAAGTGTCTCATAGTCAATCAATTTATAGTCGAATAAACTATTGTACTTCATGACTAACCAGTGGTGAAAATTCCTCTGTGATAATACAATGCATTTACAAGAAAAACAACCAAGGAAGGACATTGTTCCATCTTCTCGTCTCTTATCTAATATCTTTATCCCTTGGAGACACAGTTTGGCTTTTGGTGTCCGGTCTCTCAAAAATAATTCAATTTTGTTCGCGATTCACTGATTGTCCAAATGTTTTCAAAACAAATATATATCTAAGAGCACACCTCAAATCAAGCTGACATTTATCCTATTTTCTATGAAAAAGCTCTCATTACATTCAAGCAAGACTCATATTTTACTGAATTTTACATTGGACATCCTACCTCAGGAGGCAGTATAATGGTTGTACCAATTACATACAGTATTGTACCCCTAATCATACAGCAAGTACACCTAGAATTTGTGATTGTTAAACACTTAGTCTAACACTTTATACATTAGAAAGCACAAGACACTACATTGATGCATTGTCAATTAATTAAATCATGAAGTCTTTTGAATTGTTGAATCCCAATGAGGAATATGGACAAACAATTAGAGAAAGATCGAGATATACAAATCTTACTGAATGACAGTCAAGCGGAATTACATATTCATATTTTTATTAAATATTAAAGTTAAAAATAATTCAGACACAATACTCTGTTTACTGAAAATACAATTATTTGTGTCAACTGTCCACAAAATTAACATATTTGGTTTACACAATTTGATTATTTTTCGAATGCCGAAAAACTCAATTTTCAAAAATTGATAAATGATTCAAATGAGAGCATTTAATTATGTAACTGATATTTTCCGCTGTATAAAATATAAAAACATTCAGAAAATGTTTAGTATTGTCATTGTGGTAGGAATGCAAGGACATCATATTCAGATGATTTCTCCTTTCTTCTTTTGAATTGTCAAAATTTAATTCCTTCCTTTTTTAATTAATTTGCATGATTTGCTAAATTATACATTGACTTTGCCCTTAGAGTCAAAAATTTACTGCGTAAAATTAGTTTTGACAGCTATACATTTCATTCCTGTCGCTGACAATGCAAAGTACAAATTACTGATAAAATTACAGCCGTTCTTCAAATTTTGTCTATAAATATCTATTTTGTAATCCATTTTAATAAATTAAGTTCTACAGCGAAGAATACAGATATATGATCTCCTAAATCTGAATATACAAAAGACTTAATTCACAATCTTGATTCAATAAAAGAATAACTTTATCCCTCAAACAAAATATCAGAAAGAGCAATTTTTTACCATAAAATCTATTACCAGACGGGGCTTTGCCTTAAACACTTTCCAGACACCACAATTCAGATAATAGAGTAAAAATATATTAACCCTTTTTTTATTAAGAAATATGTAGATTATGACCAAGATTCATTCTTTAATGTAGAGACAAAAATATAATGTACATAGCATTTTGTTTTTAAATATATAGAGATTACTTTTCTGTGAAGAGAAATTGATCGTTTCTTTTTTTTTTAACATTCTTTCTTTACAATTATCTAACTTTCATGATTTTTTCATTCTATTCAGACCCCCAGAGCTGAACTTCAAAAACAGAAATTTAAGATTTATCAGAAATACTTATAAAATTCTCACGTATTATAATAGTTTTTATTTACAGTAAAAACTCATTTGGTTTAAACATTGATATAGCAAATGTATATGGCTAAGTTGAAGCTTTTGGGGGATCCCCTGCAAAATTCTAAACTACTCCCTGTAAAATTTTTTGGTTATAATGAACTCTGACTTACCAAATTAATGGATATAGCGAACTTTTTTGTGTCCCAAAGAGGTTAAGAATATCAAAATTTACACCTTTTATGGTAAATTTTTTAAAAATCTCAAAATTTAAAAATATTGAACTGAGATTATTTTTCATTAAGTATTTAATATACATAGTGTATTTGAAATTTAATTCATCAGAAAACTTTAATACTCCCAGGTAAGTTTTGTATTTAATACTTCCCTGTAAATATTCACTTAGTCATTCTTAAGGGAAAATATATATATTGCAAATTCAATATACACACTTTTACTAATTCGCTATATGGTTATAACAAATTAGATATAAGCAAAGTAGATTCAAAGGTCCCAAGGACTTCACTATAACTGGGTTTTACAGTACTGTACTCTTACTTTTTAAAATAATAATCACATATAGTCTTTGAGTTAATGAATTATTAAATGTATACTTTGACAAAATTACTAAAGATCATTTAACTGAATTAAGGAAAATTAACCTTCAACAAATGAAAATTTCTGTAAGTGGGAAAATCTTTTAATAGCCCCGTTTTATGACAGTGCTCAGTTGAAAATGCTACCATCAGCTATTATCTAGCAATTATACACCACATATAGTACATATATTTGTTCAATTACACAAGCTAGAGCAATAATTTCTTTGATCAGTAAATACTGTAAAATCTAGACCAACCAACCAGTTCATTCTGGAAGACCATCATTTTACGAGAATCCAATAAAAATGGCCATCAATCTGGCAAGTGAGACAGTTGGGTGTGGGGCACAAAGGTTTCTGAAGAGGATTTTAATAACCAACACAAGCCCTTTACAAGCAATCCGAATTTTCCAGTGCATTGAATCAACATTCCACTTAGAGAGACCAAGTAAATAATTTTTAAGCCATATATTTTCTTGCAGAGAAAGGATGAATTGATATCAAAAGGACAATGATCTTTATACAAATTTTGTACTAATAACCTTTTTACTCCATTTCCACATAGACCAGACAACCTACTTGAATAGATTCAAACTTAAGCTAAATTTTATCTGCTCAAGGGAAAAGTAAGGCGTCTGTTCCGAGGTAATCTATGGCTGCATGTGCAACAAAATATAACTTTATTTTCCCCAGAAAAGATGAAGATAAACAATACACAGAATTGATTTGCTTTCAATATGCACAACTGAGTAATCTCTTGGACCCAGAATGACTAAATGATAATCCAGTGCTTGTTGCCTTTAGGCCATTATTTGTGTTTGCTTGTAGGAGTCTGTGCCAACATGCACCGAATTAATGAAATTTACTTCTGCATAAAGAAAGTTTGAGTTTACAGTGACAAGTAGTTATCTTGATTCAATAAAATGAAGAAAAAGTTAAAATGGCTTTAAAGTTGCAGTAAAAAAAATATTCTTGTAATTAAGAAAACGCTTCAGTTTTATTAATCAACCATCACTCAATCCTGTTCAATCTGTATTCATTTCATGTATACATGTCAGAAATCTGCAAATAATCTGGAATAAAGCCCTATAATGTTTCTCACACAATACTCTTTTATTGACTTGATTGAAGGAATCCATTCTTTGGCATTGTATGATTGAGCGCTCATTAGATGACCTTGATGTAACATCAGCAGACCAGTCACTGACTTTAGGAAGCTGCCATGTTTATAGTTTGGTCCATCAGGAGTCTCCGTCAGGAGACCTATTGACAGGACATTGTACGCAGGAAAACACACCAAGCACTCACTACAGCAATAAAATGATGGCAAAAACAGAGAAAAAATAAAACAAATAAAGACAGACTATCGAATCTTAGCCAAAAGTGACGAGGCAGTTCTATAAGGACATGCCAGGAGAGAAATGTATTTCCCCTACTATATATCACTAGGGATTTCATGTTCCTAGAAAGGTCTATTTCTCCTGAGAATTCCTGACTAGGAATCCTATGAAAGAATGGGTGAACAAAACCCTTCTAAGCAATGGATTGAAACAATGCTCTAAAGCTCCCTACAATACCATAATACTATCAGGACAGAAAAGGGACTATGATCGCTGTTAATTATTGATTTAATTCATGATGTTTAATTTTTTTTTCTATTGAGTAAAACAATACCAATAGCTATTAAGACTGAAATACAAACAGAAATTGACATGGGCCAGGGTAGCTTAAATATGGCAAACTGGTCCCATTGTCCGTGCCAAAGAGGCTGCATTTCCTATCAGGAACCAAGAGAGCTGACTCACTTGACAATTATAGGGAGCACTTAAACTCTCTTTACAAGGAAAACTTGATAATATAGAATCAAAGAGACAATACCATGATCCGATTATTCTACTTTACAATTTATCCTATCCAATCAATTGCAAAGGTTTTAGTATCCATATCTGTGACCAACAAAGTAACCTGAGGTTGTTCTGTATACAGAATCCCCAGAGTGTCTCGGCCAATTATTGTCTTAGCAGACATAAGGTACCCTCCACTTCTATATCTAGGGCAGGATTTCCCTCTTT